CATATAAATTAAAGACATCGAACTTAAATCCTCCCGTAACCAATCTATGAATAAGGTTATGTTGGTGCCTTTTAGGTTTTCCAGATAGACTGAGACCATGGCCTTGACATCCTCTACAAACAGTTTTAGTGCTTTAGCTTTCTGCGGAAGGTCCAGATCCTGGATTGTGCCATGGATTCTTTGAGTCATCTCAGAGATTTTGTTATTGGTCTCATCTACAAACCGAAGGTAATCAAATGACCTTAATTTCTTTACCAACATGTCAAGGAATCTGTTAACTTCTTCAATGAAATTTTTAAAAGACAGAGCTTTAAGCTGATTGAGAGCATCATTAATAAATCCAGCCAATTTCTCAAAGTGATCTTTTATCCCAGCTTGTTGTAGGGCATTGCTTAGCTTCTGAACAGTCTCCTTCAACTTATATTGGTGAGCCAGCTGTACTGACTTATCCATTAAAACCTGGATGTGTTGGTCTATTTCATACATCTTAATTAACTTATAAAAAATGGCCCTAAAAGCTATGATTTTCTCAGTTACTTCAAAATCGTCAATGAGATCTCTAACATAGTATTTGATATGCTCAATAATTTCCTTTATTTTTTGAAATGGAATTGTAGTTCTCATCTGATCTAAAAGCACTCTGACATCAATAGCTTCAACCTGTTGTTTTAACTTTTCTGCAAGGTGCTGGATGTCAATATTCTCAATCTGTGCCTTGAGATGTTGCAATTTTTCTTGTACCTGGATTCTGATTTGATACTTAGTATCCACATTTTGAATCCAAGATGCTATACTACTTCCAATTTTGTTAAAATCAATCTTTTCAATAAACAAATATAGATCATGGATTATTTTTACTAAATTTACACGAATATGATATTGTTCATCAAGAATTTTTAATTTTTCAATGATTCGAGCAATAATCTTAGCAATAGCTGATTTAAAATCATGCAAATCATAATTATCTTTAATATATTGATCAAATTGTATCACATATGTTTGCAGTTGAGATAGTTTTTCATTAAGGTTGATTTTGGCATTGTCCAATACAATTTTTAGATCATTTTCTGTAATTGTATAATTTTTTGTAAAAGCAGTGAGTTTCTCCTTGGCATTTGAAACTTGTCTCTCCCAACTGAATTCATTCAGATAATCATTAACTTGCTGTGAGAGTTTGTCCAAGGCCGCTCCGTATTTCCTCACGAATTGATCAATATCGATGCGTTTCAATCCTCTCTGTATAGTTTCCAAAGCACTGATGATTACTAGTTGATTCTTCTCAAAATATTCTGACAGGATTTTTAAAAATGGGAGGTTGATGGTGTGGACATCTTGGTTCTTATCATATTTTACAGAAGCAACAATAGTGAATTCCTGGGGCTGGTCAACAGTATCCCTCATCTCCAAAGCACTGATTACATTGACAGGCTCACTGAGTAACAGTGGCACTTTAATCGGAAAGTCCAGTATGGTAAGGTCAGCCAGGGCCCGTCCATTGAGCTCCATGCCGACTTTGTCTTTAGTGTTGTAGCCATCAAAGTCATGGCTGTATTCATTTTCGTTTAGCTGCGTCCTGAATTTCCAGGTGCTTGTCTGCTCAGCTGGAGTGAGCAGGACACCAACTTTGTGATCAAGAGCAGTACTTATGCTCCTTCTGGACACAGGATGGTGACTTGTGGATCCTTTGTAATCATGAGAGAAAGTAAGGGCCAGGGGTTCTGCTTTCAACAGGAATTTGCTATACAGCTGTCCGGTATGTTCTCCCCAGAGAACCAGTTTCCCATTGCCGTTTGTATGTGCATCGATGGTCATTGTAAACGGGGCCACGGCAGAGCGGAAAACGTTGCTTAAATGCAGCGAGTCTGAATTGTAGTTTGTACTGACGTCAATGGCTGAAGCTAGCCCAGCGATGTTCATGTTGAGCCGATGGCTAAACTCTGTGCCCTGTGCCTTAGCTACAGTGTCTGATTTATAACTTGCTGATAAGTCCGCATAAGAAATGGTGTAGATGTGTTTTATTTCATTATTTTGGTAGGCTCCTTTTACATTCCCACCCACGTTCAGCTTCAAGGGTTCGAGCCGTAATTTCCCATTGTTGGTCAGATCCAGGGCACTGAATTTCAGGTCATTGTTTAAAGTAGCAACAAAGGAATAGGGCTCTAGCTGTAAATTCAAAGTTTGCTTATAAAACTTGTCAGAACTATAAATGTTGTCAAGTTTTGAAGAGAAGTCTAGCGCTAACCCTGCCACGTTCAGATTGTTTGTGTAGTCAAGTTTCATTTCATCATATGAGCCCATCATGTTGTTTGCAAGCTTAAGTCCCTCCTGGTTGATTTTGAAGTTGAAAATATTTTTGCTATTGACACCCAGAATTGTGGCCTGATAAGCGCTCCCCAGTGATGCCTCTGTGAGGGCGGCTTTTCCATCTAGACTGAATTTTGCATTGTGTTCCCTGAAGCGGCCGTTCGTCGTTAACTTCACAGATGCCCCAGAGAGGCCAAGCGCTGCATTCAGCTCATTCTCCAACACCAGGGGGCTGTACTTCAAGTTGGTGGTCGCGCTGGTAGACATTCCGTCTTGGCCGATCCTTAATGTTGCTTTGTGAGCGCCACTATTAATTCTGTCAGTGCCCAAGACGTCGGCATTTAATTCAAGACCATGGGAATTTAGTGATCCAGAGAGCAGGGCGAAGAACCTAAATGACTTGTAATCAGTCTGATACTCAGAACGTAGCAATGCATTTTGATCAGAGAAGGTCAGGTCTACTTTGTTAGAAGTGGCGAAGTCCTCATACTTCCCGTTGGTGTCAGACTTCAGAATCAGCTCGTAGTTCTCATATTTCAGGGAAGCAGTATTTTTCAAGATGCCGCCTTGTAGGTCCGAGGTGGAGGTGAGGGAGACAGTTCCATCTTCATATGTTCCTGTTATTTGGTTGGTGCCCTGGAGGTAGGTGGAGTTAAACTTCAGGTTGGACTTCCCACTTAGCTGGCCAGTGGTAGAATCCTTCCGATAAGAGAGGCCATAGGCACCATTAGCATAGAATGAAGAGACTCTGAACTGCCCATCAATCTTGGCTTCCTTAATATACAGATGCTCTTTCTTTTTTGAGTCCCAGTATACTGAAGCAGACATCTCTGGTCCCCAGGCATTAGACGCATCGAATGTTAGAAAACCTTTGGAGGCTGGATTGTTTCCAATGCTTTCTACATGACTGAATTTGATATTTGAATCCAGAAAAAATCTGTGGCGTAGGGCCCCATCATATGACAATGTGAATGTTTTCCTGGGGTCATATGTTGTTTCAGCAGATCCTAGCATCGAAATTAAAACACACTGGTTAAATTAGGCAATACATCTCTAGAACAATTTCTATATTGTAAGACTTTCATTAATAAAGCCCCATCGATCTGGGTCAGTCGTGCAACAGTCTCCTCCATCTAAAACACAAGTATAAAATCTGATAGCAAAAGGCATTCCCGCAGGAAGACTTCCCCGGCCACTGCAGACCTTGCTGGGTTCTTTATCAAGTGCTTCTACCTTACCTTATACTTATGCACTATACCCTGTCATAGCACTCTTACATTGAATTATAATTGCCAGTTTATCTGTTTTCTTTGTTACTGCCTAGTAGAATACTTGATATACATTATATGTTTAATAAATATTTCTATTGATTGAATAAATGAATAAATGAATGAATGAATAGGATTCCAAGTAGCAAGGAAAATATCTGTAAGAAAGCCCAAGTCTTTCCCTCCCAGGAGGAGGCTGCCCCATCAGAGCCTGCGATGAATTAGCCCTGTGCACCCTCTCACTGAGCATAGCTCACCTTGCGTACGGTACGAGAGCAGTTCGACCACAGAGTCAGCCTTCATGTGGTACGAAGCCTTAAGCCTCAAGTGGTCTGTGCTGACGTTGCCACCAGAGAAGGAGGCGGACCAGTTGTATGAGTTGCTGTAGATATTTGTGGAGACGTCTAGCATGCCCAAGAGAGGCACCTGTAGTTGGTACAACTCAGGAATAGTGAAAGCGGGGACTTGGAATTCTCGCGATGGCAGGTAGAATCCCACAGACTTGAAGTTAAGGGCTGGTGTCCGAATAGCCTGCAATATCTTTAGATCTTTGGAGGATTTGCCACCAAAAGGCAAGGGAATCTCAAATTTCACACTCTGCTTGTTCAAGGTGTATTTGACTCGGCCATCACTGAAATGAACAACAGAGACAATAACCCCACCATAGTCAGACAACAAGAACGCAAAGTCCTCTGCCATATGACCTTCCAAGCGATTGTGCATGTGCCCCATTCCCAGACCCATTCTCACTTTTTCTCACGCTACTCCCTATGCCTGAATTCCTCTGCTTTTACCTTCATCCATCAAATACTCACGTCCATTCAAAACCTTTCCAAGAGCTGCTTCCTTATCAGTACGAACCTATTTAAGTCATAGTTAATTTCTCTTGATCTTATAGTGAAAGTCCCTTACACCTATCTGAAAGAGCATGTTATAATTCTGCTTATATGATTAGAATGTGTTTGCTCCTTGTCCGTATCTATATGGAAGGAAGGGTTATACACCCTACTGTTGTTTTTTCCTTCTAACTGCCCCTAGTCTAGTATCTTGCACATAGGGAACACTTGATATACATTTGCTAAACTGAATTGAAGCAACTTGATATGTGGAAAGAACACAGGTGTGGGATAGAGTGTTGGCTTCCACTGCTTGCTGATATTATGTCGGCGGATTCACCTCTCTGAGTCCCAGTGATGTTATCTGTGTAGTGAGGATAATAATAATGCCCTTTCTGCTGACCTCATGGAGCTAAATATCAAACAAGAAAAATGCCAAAGCACATACAGTGCACATACAGTGGACTTTTATAATAACTTAGAAGACAAAGCACTTTGCATTCTTTTCAATACTATGCACATACAGTGGACTTTTATAATAACTTAGAAGAATAAAGTCAAATGGCAGAGTTTTAAATTTTATAAGCAAATTAACTGTTCACTGCCTTACTCCAACAGGGCCTGGATGCTACCTATCCAGGATCCTGACGTTCGGTAGGAAGATGCCTGATAAGACCCTGTCTGATTCTAAGGTCCATGGTCCTGTCTTTTCAGCATGGCACAGAGAACACTGCCAGTCAGAAGCACAGGTGGTGAACAAAGAGGATCCTGGATCCTCTGAAGCTGCCACTTTTCTCTATTACCTTCGATAGGTTTGTCCATATGTGTGTTCTGGCGGACGTCAGCCCTTTTCACACTTATTTGGTCTATTAAACTTTGCAGCTCAGCCATAGACTATGGAAAGGCCCACGTGACACAGGCCACTTGTTTTCTTAACCCCGAAGATCATATGAGAACAGTCAATCTAGAAAAAACTACAGTCTTTTTAGCTCATACTGATTTTTTTTTTTTTTTCATGAAATCAAGGAAAGCACTATGTGTATTTCTGTAACTACAGAAGTGATCCAAACAGTTTGGAATCTGACTTCCCCAAATGGATGAACCTATACTGATAAAGTGAAATGTTCTCAGAATGCTCCTTTCATTAGTGTTGAATGGCTGTTTTGACCCTCTAGAGCTCAGCTGCAAATCTGTGTCAACAATTCTGCTGGACACTCTTGAATTCTTCACAAACAATTATGAGTAAATATATCCTGATCTTGAACAAAGGGAGAATTCACTTATAATGGAGGAAAATTAAACGGCTTTCAAATTCAGGTGCAGTGGATAAAACATCTTAGGGTAAAAGTACCAGAATCCCCAATGACTTTTAGGTTCTTTCTGATTGGGTTGGCATTCACATGCTGATCTTGTGTTTAATAACGTAAAAATGCCCTAGTGTTTATTCTACAGTTATTAATCTCCTTAAAATGCTTAAAATATTTCCCTTCAAAGTGTAAATTAGAGTCTAAATCATGCTAAGTAAAATCTTCCATTAACTTTGCAAGTTTCTGAAAAATTTTTCTGGTTCCTTTTTATACCTTTTCAAGAAGAGGTTTTCTGGGATGTAGAAGCCTGGCGAGCTTATTTTCCTCAGTTTGAACTCTTTTTGGCCCCAGAGGTAATCTTGCAAAATCTGGGCATAAGGAAGACTCATAGATGCCTTCTGAAGCCATGTGTTTGTTGCCTACAAAATAATAGAAGTTTTCAGAGCAATGGGCTTGGACGGGCCTCAAAGGGCAATTAACATTAGGTGATAATCCATATTTTACAAATCAATGACTAAGAGAGATGATACACTAAAAGTTAAAAATAAAGCACAGAAAATTAGAAATTATGAATTTCGGTTGTCAGTCATTGATTGCTGCCTATATTTTATTAAAAAATATGTAACATAGTCAAACTCCTATCTAGTGTCCTGAAGCTTCCTTTCATGTCTGAGCCACAGCAAACTCTTCTGCTTGGTGGCATTCATCTGGTACTTATCACACACAACCTTGAATAGCTAGGTAACCACACATGAGTCTTTCTTTTCTCCCCAGGAATTCCCTGGAGGTAGGAAGCATGCCTTCTCCATCTTTGGATTCCCCTCATTCACCTAACTCAGGGTGAGTATGTAATTAGCACTTATAACCATGTATTTATTGACTGACTAATTTGTACTTACAACTATTAAATTGGAACCCATGTGCCGGAAAGTCATATTTGCTTGAGGAACTCTGTGATCCAATATACTATTGCCAAGTGCACACAAGGTTTTAGGATAATCAGAGAGAGCCGTGGGGAAATTGGAAATAATTTTTTTGGTGTCCACATTGGTGCCTGCGTTCCATTCAAATTCAATCTTATCTTCATCTGAAAACATACATATGAAATAACGGTCAGCGGTGCCAGGTCACCCCTAACCAATGGCTCTAAACACTGCACTCAAGTACGGAGAGCTCTTGGAAGCACTCATGTTGGGAAGAGGTACATACCATAACGCCATGCCACCTTCTTGGAAATTGTTGAGCCGTAAGCTGTAGCTGATGAGTCCATCTGGAGGAGCAGTTTTGTGGGAGACCACTGGGTGAGGATCTCACTTCTGGCTTCTGCTTGCAATCGAGGTATGGAAATAACACCTTTGATTCTGCCTTCTTCCTTCCCGTAACCACTATTGAAAAGAAAATCAGTTGACATCAATGACTTTGTCCATTCCAAGGAAATACACAGGATCAAAGAGTTATGATGAAACTCTTTGATCCTGTGTATTGCGACTTGTGATGAAAACAAGATAGATGAATGGCTTGGACAAATGACCAGAGATTGAGCCCATTAATGTGTACAGCCAACTTCAGCCAAATTCAGGATTTTCCAAAGAGGTATGGGAGAAAGAAAAGGTGTTCAAAAACTGTTTCAATGCTGCTCTACCAATTATTAGCTCTGTTGCCTTGGCCAAATTGTTTAACTCCTCTGAACTACCATATTCTTATCTATAAAGCAGGGAAGCTGGTGCCTACCTCACAGTTTATTATGAGGACTGAGATAATTTCTTTAAAGTACCCAGCACAGTGCCTAGTAAATGGTAGGAAGATCCAACTAGACATGCGCAGAGGGCCAGAATGTCCAGGGCTCTGTCTGACTTCCAGAAAAAAAAAATGCCCCTGGTCTAGTCAGCTCTGAAGCTGAGAAGGAAGGCCAGCAGCTCAAGTCAGATCACCTTGAGCCTTCCTTACCTTATGTGGCCGGTGAGGGTGACCTCAGTGATTTTCTTGTTCTGAATGTCCAGGGTGAGTTTGTATGACTTTTTTTCCTTAGCAGATTCATCACTGACTCTGAGGACTGTCCCAACGTCAACGTCAAAATCTGGAATTTGCATTTCACTGGACAAAGTCATACTCTGCCGGTTATATCTGAATGTCATGGTAGCTTCTGTCTCTCTCACACCTGAAAGGGTGTACCAGATAATCAGAACGTGCATTCACAACCTAGCTTTGGTTGGAAAGAGAGGGAAAGGCAGAGAAATCCTAAGTACTCAATGTGCTTACACGACAGTGCAGGATTTCACCTTAAATTTTTACCTCTGCGGTGCTCATACATTTGTTCAATCCACAAATATTTATTCATTGCCTATCATGTGTTAGGCACTGCTCTTGGCATTGGGGAGCCCCAGACCTCATGGAGCTTACATTCAAGTGGGGGCGTACGGACAATACACAAGTAAATTATTTATGTCAGATGGTTATACGTGTTAGGAAGAAAAGTACAACTGGATGAGCCAATAAACATTAGAAGGGGATAGAAGAGGTGACATTTCATGTGTGGTGGTCAGAGAGGTTCTCTCGGATGAGAGGGTAGTGGGCAAGACCCGGAAGAGAAGGCCTGAGCCATGCTCTCTTCTGGGGTCAGGAGAGCTTTCCAGGCAGAGGGAATCCGCCATGCAAAGGCCTTGCCGTGGAGAGCGCTCGGCGTGTTCAGGGAACAGTGAGGGCTCGAGGCCCTTCTGTGAGGGAGGTGTGACATCTCCGTAGACTCCCCACAGACAACACCCTTCCTGGTTCTCTGCCGCCCCTTCCCGACCTTCCCCAGTCGCCAGTTCCTCCTTTCTTTGTTATAAGATTCCCACGTTCCCTTCAATTCACAGGCGTACCCTTTTCGTGTCTTTTGTAAAACTCTTATGTGAAAATTTTTTTCAGCATGCATCCCCCTTCCCCCATTCAGTTTTGTTTTTCTTGTTTAATTTGGCGACATACTATTCCTACATAAAAAATCTTCCAAAGTGAATCTAAGTTTGTCCCCTCCCCTAATACCTGCTTCTCCAGTGGCCTTTTCCATCCCACATAAATGGCATCTCATTCTTCAGTCGGGTAGGCCAAAACACTGGGTTCCCTTTTCCCCTTACACAGCACCCACTGCATCAGCAAATCCTGTCAGTGCGATCTTCAAAATATGGCCAGAATCTGACCACATCTCACCTCTCCTCAGCCTCCACTCTAATCCAAAGCGCCACCGTCTCTGGCCTAGGTTATTGCCAAAGCCTACGCATTCGTTTCTTCGCCTTTGAGCCCCTGAAGTCTTTCCTCAACATAGTCATAAATGAGGTTGTGAAAACTCTCCAGTGGCTTCTTATTTCACTTAGTAAAAGCCAATGTCCTCACCAGAACTTAGAAGACTACTTCTGCCACCACCCCCTATCTTTCCGCCGTCATCTTCTACTGCTTACCTCCCTGATGCTTCTGCTTCAGCTACACTGGCTTCCTTTGCTTTCCTCAAACCTGGCAGCCATGCACCTGCCTCAGGGCCTTTGCGCCTGCTGGCCCCTCAGCCTATAACCATAACGCTCTTTCTGTATGGCTTATCTCCTTACCACCTTTAAGTATCTCTTTTATGTTCCCTTTACCAGTGAGACTTTGCTTTATCAGTCCTAACAGCACTGCCTTCCCCTGCCCTCCCGCCTCCCTCCACTCCTGACATTCTCTGGACTCCTCTATGTTCTATTTTTCTCTTGAGCATGCTTCTAAATATTTTCTTGTTTGGTTATTTGCTGTAAACTCCATGAGAACAGAGACTATCTCCACTGTTTTCTATCCTAGCCTAAGCTCTATGACAAGCCTGACACTTATCAGGTACTCAGTACAAATTTATTAAATATATGAAATTAACTATGTTCTCTTTCTGCGTCCTGGACCTGATGCTGAGGGCAGAGATGGAAGAGTCTTTCTCTGGATACTTGCCTTCTGCTTGAGTCACAAACTTCAGCATGTCTACGAAGGCTTCACCCTCTCTCTGGAGTTCATAGGTTGCGCTGGCAGAATACTGCTCTACTTCTCCTGTTGGCTTCAGTTCCAGTTCAAATCTAAAGATGTTACAATGCATACGGTGTACGATGTTAGAACTTCCCATGATGCTTAGAACACCCCCCAAACAACTCGGCCTCAATAGCAACAAAATATGGTGCTTCTTTTAACATTGTCTCCTGTCCCTAAATCATGACGATCTCTATGATCACTTTCAGTCTTTCCAGGAGCTCAAGGCAAGAGCAGAGCCTGAGGTCCCCCGAGGTTTTGGACAAGCAGAGCGGTAATTGCTGGCTGTGTCTGGAAGGCCATGAATAAGAAGTGGAAGTTGGGGGAGTTGAAGACAAGGAGCTGTCAAGCATGGTCAGAGCTTGGAACACATGGTGAGAGCTCTAGGAAAGGCCATGTATCTGGAGACTCAGAAACATGGACACTGAATTAGGGGCAAATTAGAATCTGTGCTGTGATCCTCTCAGCTAATGCATAAAAGAAAGAGGGGACATCATCTATAAAGAGATGTTTTTAAAGGAGTGATTCTCAGTGGCAGTGGGTGCAGTTTACTTGGGGGAGTGTGATCGAATCACCTTGCTTGTCCACTTTTTGAGCTAAGACCTCCCTTGGTGGTCATGACTCCTCACGTTCTAACACTGCCCCTCTCCTCCCACCTATGGAGGAACCCAGTTCCAGTCCCAAAGTTTAGGCAGGAATATGTATACCCTTTAGATATATTGGGTAGAGGACGACTGTTTTAAATAATTAAAGAACAGTGCAAACCCCCAATTCTGGTGACATGGGCCTATGACACAGCATTTTCCCTTTGCCCTGCTAGGTAGCCATGAAGGTGAGCAGATGCTGGGCTGGACACTGAGTGTGTCTGACCTGGTGTCTCCGGCCAGTAGGTAGTAAGAGGAAGTGCCTGTGGAACTGGCGTTGGAGTAAGCACCCATGCAGTAGTTCAGGCCGGTAAAGAAAGGCTTGCAAATCGACCAGGACTTCCTGTTCTCAGGCAGAGATGAGATCGCTTCCGTTTTGGTGGTAGAGACCAAGTGCAATGTGTTACTAGTGGAGAATGACAAAACCTGAGTTATCTTCAAGTCATGAATCAAAATGAATGTCACTGATGCTCGCAGTGCAAATACCCCCTTATCCTGCTCTCTACCTCCCCTATGTTCTTAAATTCTTTGATTTACTTGGGAACAAATCATAGTAAGAAGAACATTAACAAGGCTAACAATCACAGTGACTCTGTGTTTCGGACACTGCACTAAGTTCTTCACAGTTTTTACCTGTAATCTCCACAACAGTAGGCATTAGGAGTCTCCTTTTCACAGGAAACAGAGGCTCAGAGATGTTAAGTATTGGTCTCTGGGACCTGACTTCAGGTGTAGCCCTCCCTTCCTATGATTTGAGGTAAGAAATACTCTGTCTCTCTTTCATCTGAAATCTCTTCGTCTCTACTGGCTTCTTTTCACCCGTATTAAACACACTCAGTTCTCTTCTCCCATTGTACACACACCACACACACACACACACACACAAATGTACACACACATGCACGCACACAACACACATGACATTCTTCCCTTTCTACCCTCCTCTGGTCTCTCCTACAATCGAGAAATTGTCTGTCTTTGTGGTCTCCACTTTTGACAGCCTTCTCTCTGAACTGCGATCTGATTGCCTCCCTACTGTGCTTCTGGAACTTCTTTCATTAGCATCTCCAATCACCTCTTGCTCTTAATTCCCATGGACATTTTTCAGCTTCATCTTCCTTGATCTCTTGGATGCATTCAGTAGAGTTGGTCACTAATGGCTGGATGAAGACTTTAGAGTCCATACCCTCTGAAAAGATTATGGAACCTGCCTCCCAAGTGTGTACTTAAAAGATTAGTATGTGTGAGAAAGTTCAGTAATGCCCTGACTTCATCCAAGGATGCTTTCTTTGATATAACGTGTTCTTTCCTCAGTATTGTTTCTTCATTTTAAGAGTGCCCTAAGACCAAGCTATGCCGGGGGGCTGGAGCCCTCAGAGCCAGCTTTGGCCCGCCTATGGGGCAGTCCACCCCTGTGGCCACTCCTGAGCATCTATGACCCGTCATGGCCTTGGTTCCCTTCTGCCTCTCTGGTCACCCCTCACTCTTCGTTGCTCGTGCCTCTCCCCCTTTGCATGTTTATATTCTCCACCTTTCTGTCCTAGACCCTCGTGTCTTATTCTACACCAATCACTGCTTGACTTCCATAACTTCTATGTGCCAGTGACTCCCAAACCTATATTTGTAGCTCAGAGTGTTTTACCGAGCTCAGACCCAGGGGTCCAGTTGCCAGCTGGATATTCTAATTGGTTGTCTCGCAGGTCTTCTAATGCAATATATCCTAAATTGATCATTTTCCTCTACGTCAGCCCCTCTCCCTCTCTGGTTCCTTTTTCAAAGAAGGGCACCCCCACTTCCCTTTCTGCTTTCTTTTGCCTCAACCCCCTAACTAGTCAGTCACTAAGTACTCAGGTTTCTACCCCCTAAGAATATCTAGAGACGGCTCACCACTCTCCACACTCCAGCCCTCACCAGATGCAGGCCACTATCCCCACTCACCCATGTGTGAATGTGACAGACTCCTAACTGGTCACCCTGTCTCTAGTCATGCCTCCTGCCCACCCATTTCCCACTCCGGATTCAGAGTATTTCTTCCAAAACACCAACTCTTATTTTATTGGTGCTCCCATTTGAAACTCCTCTGCCTTCAGAGGAGCCCCCACTCCTTAAGATGGTTCCTAGCGCTGACCCTTGCCAGCCCCTCATGTCACCTCACAGTACATTCCCCGCACAATTTATCACACTGAATTTCTTGCAGTTCCTGAATCACATTACTCTTCCTTCAGGCCACTGCATGTGCTTTTCTGTTTGCCCGGGAACACCCTCCCTTTCTCTTTTGTTGGATAACTCTGACACTGGCTTCAGACATCAGCTCAAGTACGACTTTCTTCAGAAAGCTTTCCCAAACTACGGCAGGCTACATGATAGAGAATTTCATGGTCCTCTAACACCTCCTCTAACTGAAGCCCCACTTTATCGTTACTGCTCGCTTCATTATATGTCCTTCCAGTATGCTGTAACCTCTAGAAGTTCAGGGATCTTGTCTCTCATTCAACATGCTTAGTATATATAGGCAATTAAATACTATTTTTGAATCAACAAATTAATGTGCCCCAAATATAGAAACTAAGGTAAATCTGTGTTTGAGAATATCATTGAAGATGAAGTTCTCAATATAAGGCTGCATTCTATACTCTGGAAATTAGGATTTTCATGCTTTATCTACTGAGCTAGCTACCACAGATCAGTATGATCTCTGGTAATATTCCTGAGAAAAATAGTCATTTGCCAAGGATGATTCCTCTAGAACTAGTGTTTTTATTCTCAAAACAAACAGACAACAAAAAATAGAACCTAATAACAACTAGTTAATAAGTAGGTCTTAAGTCTCCATTTAGTAAAACATGTAAAGTTGAGAGAAAATTGTAATTATTTAGTGAGTCTAGGCTCGGTTAAAAATACAGAATTCCTCTCTCTCCATCACCCAAGATCCACTGAGGTCAGAACTGTCTCAATTAGCTATCTAGCCTGGCCACGTCCAGCACATACAGTAAACTGGTCAGATCTCACTGAAAGAATTACCTGCCGCTGAAGAGCTTGATGGGTCTGTTTGGGGCAGGAATCCTCAACTTCAGCTCCCCAGCCATTAGGGAAAGTCGTGCCTCCAGGCCTGTCTCATGGAAGAAGTTGGTGTTCATTTGGATCCCGCTCCTAGCAAAGTCTGGAACGACGACGCTCATATGTGTCACAAACTCCACAGACACAGAGGGCTTTGTCACCAGTTCTGCTTGCATCTGTAAGTCATAAGATGACCCATTCAGCTTTGTTAAATACCTTAGTTCCCTGCGGTCAGATCGACCACCCTTCCCATCCCTGGGCAAACACCTCTGGATAGCTCACACCTCAGAAACATTACAGTGATTCGTTTGGAGGAAGAATTGCCCAGCTCTCAGTTTTCCAGGGCTGGAAGACACTGATACCCAGCACTAGGAAGTGCCCAAATTAACTATAAGCACAAGACAAAAGATGATTGAAATCCTTCTTTGATCAAAGAATAGCTGAGTTCTCACGTGACTGCCATGCCCCACTGGAGTGAGGGAGGTAGTGCGTCCTAGTGGAACCCTTAAGTTTTTCATCAAGCCTAATGAGGTGACTACATTGACAAGGCACTTCGTCTTGAACCGGAAACACATTTGCAGATTGCACAAGAAACACACCTTGGAGGAAAACAACAACCCGAGGAATCAAAGGCGAAGAGAGTCTTACTTTGGCTACTTCCATTTTCACTCCAGCGTGGATTCCGGGAGCGATGACTCCAGTGGAGGACATTTGCAGTTGTAACCCAAGTCCAGTGGGGAGTTCAAAGGCATTGTCCATAAAGATGTAGTGAAGAAACAAGTCACTCTTTGAACCTTTTTTTATGACTTCTCCAATCTGTAGATCCGACGGGGGAGAATAACTAAAAGTAAGTGGGCTTTGTGCAGTACACCCTCCCACATGTCAGACAATAATTATCCTTCTTCATCCAGAAAGGAAGGGTCTAGCATATTTTGATTAGCTGAAGAGTTTGATAAGTAAAGAAGAATGATTATTAATTTCAACAAACCAGGTTATAAAACATTGCCCTGGGTAGGTATCACATCATTTTCAACTGGTGATTCAGAAAATCTTTAAGAATATTGCTGGGCCTTAGAGCTTTAACACTTTAAGTTTCATTGCATGGCATGGCTTAATTCTGCTGTTTTGGAGTATACATGTAAATGAGAGTTTACCTGAAGTACACTGTATTATGGTAAAACCAATTATTTGAAACCAACGAGATGTTGAGATGATATACCTATTAGTATGCATTGGTTTTTGTTTTTTTATGACATATCTAGAAAATAACTTGATATCTGTTTTCTTAAAGCCAACTTTACTATTTATTAAATCCTAGGAAGTATATTTTGATATTTTTCCCTTCTTAATTAATAATAATATTAAAAAACTATAGCTCATATTCAGGTAGTTTACAATTTACCAAATATATACTTTCATAATCATTGCATCATTTCAATATTTATTAAAAGAAACCTGTAGCATGAATCGCTTAATTTCTAAATATTACCAATTCCTTGTGATCCAAGAATCTTCTTGGATTCTTGGCAAACCCACCTCTGTGAAGAAAGTATCAGCATTTTGCCTGGTTTGCATGGCCAGGACCGTAAGGGAATCTGGGAGATCTAAGAAGTGCTCAGGCTAATCTCATCACCTGTGATGGCCTACTTACCATCTGGGGGATCCCCTGCAGAATACGGGCACCATTCACGAGCAGCCTCCCCAGGACCTGCTGGTCACGAAGGCTGACAAAGCCAAGCTCCTCTCCCAAGATGCGGAGGTAGGCTCTGGCTTCTGGGAATTCTTTGGATTTCAAATCTTTGAGCAGCTTCTCAACAGTGAGCATAATTCCACTGACCATGTCCTGAGTTTTTAACAACAAAACGTCTAATGAGACGTCAGCAACGCCAAACACAAAAAACTGTGGGGCCTGTGCTGCAGTTGTGATGGACCTAAACACACTCAAGGTGGGGATACAGGACAGACCCTGACTCAGGATCCCACCTCTCACTAAAAGATAGCTTCTCCGAATCAACATGAAAGAGACAGCGGTGCTTCCACACTGTCCTTGACTCGAATAATGTAAGCATAGTAAGGGCAGTCTCAGCCTCTGGGATGACAGGGTTCCCAAGGTGAGAAGATCTTCAATCCCCCCTCCCTTGCTTAGACGCTTTCTCTTTTGGCTAGGGAAAAATGGCAGGGTTTGGGGGCAATATTAGCTACCATGTAAATTGGTCAAAAGCTTGAAAAGCACCTAATCCTAGACAAGTTCTTCTTAGAGATAAGAAGAAGTCCACAGACTGATGCTTAGGCAACGAGAAAGAAAAGAGCGATTGGAAGATCCAAAGCAGATCAATGACACTCAGCCTCAAGTAGGGGTAAGAAAGTTAGATGAAGGTGGTGCCGACCGTGAGCACCTAGGAGTAACGTATTGCCCTGCTTCTCAAACTAAATGTTTGTCATGTGCAAGTCACTTGGGGATCTTATTAAAATGCAAGTTCTGATTCAATAGATCCCAAGTAGGCCTAAGAACCTGCACTTCTAGCAAGCTGTGATGTGATGCCAATGACTGGACCACACTTCAGGTAGCAAAAAGTTAAAGAATAAGAAGCTCCAGATTATATAATCTATTTTATACTCCTTAAGTGGAGGCTTATGCTAGCTTCAAAGTGAATTTCGCTCTCATTAGCTAGTGCACTGATGTGAGTAAGAACCAAAGAAAGAAGTTAATAATAACTTATTTTATAATAATGAAAATATGAATTTAAAAATTATAATAGTATCTGCTCATTGAACAGTCAGTACCAGAGTCAGGCACTCTGCTTAGCATTTTACATACTTTATTTCATTGAGCCTTTAAATATCCTTGTGAGGTATGGGTTATTATTAGTACTTTGGAGATGCAGAAACAGATAGACATACTCAGGTGTGCACAGCTTGAAGACAGTGAGGTGAGACTTCAAACTCACACCCCAGAGTTCACACCCTCAATCAATATGCTAGAGTTCCTCTACTGAGTCTGTTTCCTGGGCACAGTGAATCCCCAGGAGGCCCATAACTGCAGAGGATACTGGCTCTTACTCTCATGGGAATGGTTAATCAAAGCCATATTTGTCACTTGAGTAAGATAGTTCCTTGGTGACTTCCAGGCTTAGATAAGAATGTTTTTGCATTGAGACCCAAAGCTTTCCTTGAGAGGCTACTTAACTAAAACATACCTGCTCACGTTTATCATCTTTGGTGTAGCCAAAGTGGTCCACCAAGACCTTGGAGACATGATCAGGAACTTGACCATCAACCCAGTACAAAGCCTTGTTGACACTGTCTGGGAAAAATCCTTGCTTCCCAAAAAAAGCTTCCAATGTTGGCTCAAACCCTTTTCCTTCCACACCAAGCTGAGAAAGAAAATCAGGCAAGAAAACACTATCAGGTTCTTTGTTGTATGTCAGCCTCCCATTCTCTTAATGTCCACTTAATTAAACAAGTATTGGATGAATACCACAAGGCAGGAACTGAGCTTAGCACTCCGCAGGAGCTGTCTTATTTAAATCTCACTAGAATCTTCAAAGGCAGAACTTATTATTTGCCTTTTTCCAGAAGAGGCAGCTATGGTTCACAGAGGATAAATAATTAAACCAAAGACTGAGAGTTGAGAGTGGCTTTGGAGTTTGAGCTGACTCTGTCCGCCTGCACAGCCCATGGCCTTCCTTTGATTTGGGGTCTCAGGGTTTCTCTGAGACATCTGTGTTTCCATTCATACTAAGAAGTCATGTTTCAGATGACCCCTGGCAGGGAGGTGAGGGAGGCAGAAAGAGGCAGGCCTCCAAGAGATGTACGGAACTGTCTGATGATTCTTGTCCCTCCCTGGCTGGCTCGTGGCTCCCTTGGCTTTCTACGTATAGTGTAGAACAGGATGGTCTAGAAAACACAAGACTCTTCTTCAGTCACACATACCTCGAAGAGGTCAGCTGAAGCCAATCCAAAGACAGTGAGGGTCGTTTTCAGCATGCTTTCTTTAGGAAGGTAATTATGTGGATCGAATATAAGATTGCCTTCAATTTTGGCTGAGACTGGGTCGAGTAGTGGCAGAGAAAGAGATTTGGAGAAATGATAGTTCCGGGAGAATCTTTTGAAGTCCATGACAGTTGGAAGTTGGGAATTTTTCAGAGCTTCTTTCACTAACGTTTTCAAACTGGATGAAAAGAAGGAGTATATTTTGAGCCAACACATCTTATGTTATGCATTGCCTCTCTCACCGCACGTAAATACGGGGTTCCAATTGCTATCAAACTCATGGGTCTGCCCCAGGAGTTTGGCTCAGGTCTGCTTTACTTTTGCCCAGGTGTTTGTTCCAGAACAAAGGACACTTACTCTATAAAGGGCAGAGAGTGGCCAAATCCGAATTGAGGTTTGGAACTTCAGCCCTTTGTAGCAGATGGGGAAAAATTACTCTTACTTACTTCTGGACATACAGTTCTTCTGAGTTTAAGATGTTGGCGATGTGGGAAGCCACAAAGTTCTTCACTTGCGCATTCTGTTCCCATGGGAGAAGTTGGGTGATTTTGCTAACATCTGACTGGGAAGGGTCCCTCATCAGCATGAGATAGGCTGCCAGTCGCTTGTCCCCTGGAGAGGTGTCATCGAGGAAAGTCTGAAGAAGGACTTCCCGGACCTGGAACCGGAAGAAGAAACTGTTATCACTGTCCTTTGTTCGGCACACAGAACAAGTCTGGCAAACACTGGCATGATCTGCAAGCAGTTTGTTATGTGTAAGTCGAATTTCTCTCTAATAACTCTTCAAACGCTGGTACTGAATCTTCTTGCCAGTCTTCCCCAGAGCAACCAGCTCAAGGAAGTGTTCTCAGAAGACTCCTATCACGCGCATGTCAAATTCAGTTTCATTAAAATACACAACGTACAGCCAAGTTAAGACTTGCTGGAGACCTGCCACTAACTGAAAATAAAGTTGTTTTAACATAAATTAGTTCAATATGAGGGTAAAGGAGGGGAAAGATAGTGAGAGTTTGGAGCTAATAAATGAGGTTGTGTCCAAAGATACTGAGTCGTCGCCAGCTAGGGCAGGGGCCAGTTGGCTATCCTAGTTTGGGGAGATTCGGGAAAATCAGGCATGTTTTCCCAAAACAGTGAGAGTGGTGGTCGATCTGGCGGGAGGCAGCACGTAGCATGCTGGAGTGGCAGCAAGGTCAAGTATTTCTCTCATGTCCATATACTGTGAGGCAGTCAAGTCAGTAGGACTGTTGAAAATTGCAATTAGAAAGCAGTAGAATAAGGTCCTTGGAATGACAAGATTTAGAATCTCATTCCAAATCCTTGTCAAACTGAATAATTTTCACCTTCAGACCTCCTCTGCGGACCTTACCTCATCTTGAATTTCCATTTTCCGCAAGGCTTGGATGGCAGCCTTCTGAATCAGCAGTGATGGCTCTGTACTTTTGATACATTTTAGGACTGATGACGTGAGTCTTGGGGTCAGCTGCTCCATGGTTCCACCAATATTTCCAATGACCTGCATCGGAAAGCAACGAGAGGGAATCAGGGTGCAGAAGGAGAAGGAGCGGGTACCCCGGAAAAGTGCTTCTGAAACGATGTGTATTATAGAAAAGACGGAAAGTACCCTCAGAATCAGGTAGGTGTGATCTTCGTTCCCAGTGCAGTCATCGCGAATCTGCTCCGACAGGTAATCAGCAATGTCCAGCAGGTCTTGGGTCACCGCAGGGTCTGTCCTATGATAGCTGCAGAACGAGCATTAGGACTACTCAGGATGCATAGCTAGGTTTATCTTAAAATCCAAACTTGTGTTTGCCGATTTATTTCAAGCCATTACTGACTTCAAAAAAAAAGCCGGTAGGAAAACAAAAGAGTAAGCATCAAACTTTGAAAGTAGAGGGCAGAGTACAATCTCAGTGTGGAGATGTGGGGGTCTCCCTCAGCGTCTATGAGGAGAACCGGTGTAAAACTCACTTGTTGACCACGTGACTCAGAGCATATAAAGTGGCCCGGCTCTGCTGCTCCTTCGCTGTGTTGAAGATGTCCCGTAGCGTCTGGGCAGAGGGTCCTGGGAGCAGGGCCACCAGGTAGGTTACAGCGTCTATCAGAAGGGGGTGGGCTTTCTCCCTCTTCAGCCACTGGAGGATGGGAGCGTAACACTGGGGCCGTCCGCACTGCATCAGGGCTTGAAGAGTGATGGGGCTGAGGAGGAAAGGGCCGGGAAAGTCACAGAGATCGCCTTCGCGGCCGCTGAAACACCCTTGGCCCTCGGTGTGCCCTCTGCCACCAGCAGTGCCCTCACTGCCCTTATTCACCACCCGAATCCAGCTCAGACTCCAACCAGGAAGCCTTCCCTCCGAGCATTAACCACTGGAGGGCGCCATGGAGGCAAGTCTGAAAAGGGACCCCCTGGACTCTCACCTAGAGAGCACTGTCATCACTGTCCCTTGGTCGGAACCCAGAACATGCCACATAAACACTGGCATGGTCTCATTGCAGTCTTGTTTCTTTTCCAACCTTCACAGCACTGAGAGCCAGTGCCTTGAAGTCCAGAGAAATCACAGTATTATTTTGCTTGCCTGAGTTCTCTCTCCACTAGCTTATTGTCTTCCCAAAGGTACAAAGGTCTTTTTGTCTCAAACGGAACGAGGAATTAGAAGATACCCATCAAAGTGTAGGAAATATTTCCCTCCTCTTTTAACACACAAATACATATCTCCCTTGGATGCAACATATACATGTGTGTGTTGCCCATGGATCACTAGGCACCTGAGCTGGTATCTCTCTATCCAGCAAACATGAACTGATCGACTAAACGGACTAACAGTCTTGATATTTCAATGGTCCCTAAGATTCTCTGTTTGGCTAAGGTTTCAGCCAGCTACCATAGGTTTATAATCCACGAAAGATTGAAGCGCAACTATTAAATAAATACCTGGACACCCCGAACAGCTTTGGCAAGAGGGCTGAGACTGCTTCATCGCTGAGGCCTCGCAGCTCGGACACCAGTTTACTGAAGAGGTTCGCTCTCTTGGCGTTCTGCTCAGAGATGTGTAGGCTCTGCAGCTCTTGGAGGGTTTTCATGGCGGCCTCGGCCTGCCCCGGGGGTGACGCGGCTTTGGTGCTCTCAAAGGCGAGACCCACCTCCCTGGTACCTGGAAGGAGGAAAGTGTCAAAGGAATTTCTGCTTTACCTTTATGTTTCAACCATATCTTGGTCTATTGGAAACTGGGAATCAGTGGGATATCAGCAAAGGGGAAAAGAAAACTCTCCTGTCCTTGATGCCCATTATGTATCTGGCTCTGTGCGAGGCATTTGACTTCAGCGTTTTCACTGACTCATCACACTATCCCTGTGGGTTAGTAGAATGCCTCGACTTCAAGATAGGGAGCTAAGACCCAGACTGGAGCAACTCACCTTGCCCAGGACCTCTCTGGGTATAAGAGGCAGAGCCGGAATTGAATCCAGGCTTGTCTGAATCTGTTATCGACTACCTCTTTGCCCAAAAGAACCGGCAAGGAGGTGCTGCTGCTGATATGGCTGCAGCTGAGGCTCGCCCATCATTTCTTCCAGTTGAATCTCACAGCAGTTTGTGGGGGAGGGGAAGAGTCTTTTGTGTCTCCTCCATGACCCTGTCTGATCTATGCTAGGGAAGGGGGTAAATTCAGCATGGACGTGTGGCGTAATGGAAAGAATCTTGACTTAGATTAGACCTAGGGGCTCATTTTGTACCACCTCTAATATACCATGACCCTGAATAAACCTCTCTACGTGTCATTTTCCCCTCTGTAGAATAAGTTTAAAAGCATACATGGTTACCACTTGACATCACAGGTTGCTGACAGCAGTGAGGTAATGCATAAGACAGACTTAAATCCAAGGCAAATGCAGGGCTAGGGTAGAGATGGAGATTGCTACGGTCCCTTCCAGCTCTGAAGACCAATTCATGACCCTGAAGGCTCGCTCCTACTTGTCCCAGGCCTCAGGCCTTACCACAAGGTGTATGAGGTTGTCAGACCCACCAGAAGTAGACTTAGGAGGTCAGTTTCCTACTTACAAAAACCTAGGTAGCTTTGGGAAACTTCTCCCTTTCTCGTGTCCCATTGTCATTTGGCATTTGGACGTGATCACGCTTTCTCGCTAGAGTAGCCCACCGCCAGAACAGCAGAGCCCACTTAAGTCATCAGTCAGCAGGTGTTTCACAGGGCCCAGCAAGGAGCTAAGCCTTGACGCATGAAATATCTTGGGCAGATCTCCTGGCCCTGGCAACCCCGAGGGTATAAAGTCTTACCTTCATCAAAGAGGCGGCTGTTGAAATTACGTGTCTCTTCAAGTTTCAAAGTCTGCGTAATCTGTGCCGTCATCCCATTCCTGATAACAAAGGAAGCACAGCAGGTAACAAAGGATGGCAAGCACTCCAGGCTTTCCATGGTGAATGTTTCCCTGTGTCCGCTTTTACCCAAATCCTGACCTTTAAACCATGGTTAACCGGTCATCCTGAGCCCCTGATGAACAGCACCCACCTCCTCCTGGTCATGCTATCTGTCCTTGCATCAAAGGACATATGCACCTTCTACCTTTAACCAGTTTGGAGTGCCTACATGGTAGGAATGAACTCTGTGCCTTGAAATTCCTTTGTATCTCCTACAGCACAATGCTGAGCATACGGCAGTTACTCAATAGATTTAAGATGACTGACCAATTTTCAAAATGGATTTGGATACACAGCTCTCCAGTCCAAATTCCAAATCCTTCACAAAGCCCTTTGAACCAGGGCAGCCTGCAATGATCCTGGCTTTTCCCGATTTATAACCCTTAAAGTCTGGGTCTCAGATATCTTTTGTTGGTCTCAAATTGTTTTGCATGCCTGAGATATCCTGACAAATCACCTGTTAGCTTGGAAAGGGGGGCAGGTATGGCCTCTGCTTTGTAGCTCTTCACAGTCCCCTCACAGGCACAGGCTAGCCTGGATGAGGGCTCCCGAGAAGCATGCAGCTCAGATCCCATAAATGATGAATCAGGGGTGTAGCATGTGACTTACTTGTGGGAGAAAGGCAGGAAACGGTGTTGTTCCTTGCAGATGGCTTCTGAGACATGCTTCTTCTTGGGATCCAGGGTGTACCGGCAGGACTGGCTGCTGCTGATCAGAGTTGACAAGGGGCGGTTCTGTGAACGAGGTGGAAAAGCATTTCAATCAGTTAGTTCCTGGGGCTTGAACCTGAGATTTCTGCCATAGGCATTTACCTTCAAGGAAGAAGGGGAGGAGGGGAAGGGGAATTCCGTAACACTAGACAGACTCGGTTACAGAAGAGAACTTGGTGTTTGACATTCAGATATGGAGATGCGACGACTTGGCATACCCAAAGCTGAGTCTAGCTATAGGCTCTTCTTATTCCGTCCCAATGGACATCTCATCCTGCACAAAGCAGATATCGCGTGGTATCCTACACATACGCACCCCAGCGCACATTAATTCTGCACACACTGCAGCTCCCTATGTTTCTTCTGCCTAGAAGCCCAGCCTTATGTCTCTCTTCCATTTAAACATCCTTTGTATCTTTTAGTCTCATGCTTCACATCCTCTGTGAATCTTTGCATTTAGACTCACTGATGCTCACCTATCATTTCTTCTAACTGGATCTATTAAGCTGCTTTGCCCAGTGAGCTACGTGAATACTGCTTTCTCCTTCGTGGTCAGGCCTAGGACTGCTTGTCTGCACTGCTCAGGTTATCACTTTATCTGGCATTGTCCCTCCCTCAGTGCTGCCCAGAATGGAGCTGAGCACACAGCAGCTGCTTGGAAAAAACACAAAGACCAGTGCACTGGCCTCTATATGGCCCTGGTGGTCACCAGACTCCCTGTTTTTGGGCTCAAGGACAATGACCAGGAACACTGCCAGGCATGACATGATTGCTCAAGTCCCTCATGTTTACTGAGATAAGCTGTGGTTCACGGCCCTGAAGGTATCACAAGGCATTAGGTGAGCTCAGGTAATATGGTGCCCTGTGACCCCAGGTGAGGGTGAGCAGAGAAGTTTAGCCCTGAGGGAGTGGCCTGGGCAGGACGCAGAGGGGCCAGGCACTAGTCAGGGTCGTACATGGGATGGAAAGACAGGACTCCGGAATGCTTTCGGTCATGTCACTTCATGGGAATGAGGGAGAGGGTTGCGGAACACAGGTCTTGGGAGTTTCTTGGAGGCTAAAGGCTTAGATCTAGGGACATGCATCTCTTGCACTGGAAGAAGTAGGCGACTGTGCTCCCCTACATCGAGCCCTGGAGCCTTCTCAGGGATGGGCCGTCATTACTCTCAAGTGATGGCGGCAGGTTCAGTGCCCGTGGCAGAGCAACAGCAGGAAGGGCAGAGCTCCGGACTGGGAGTCGGAACCTGACTCCTTTCCCGTTTGGTCTTCAGTTTCCCAGGGTTGGTCTGTGTGAAGAGGCTGGGCAGGTTCTTCTCTGAGATCCCTCCTGGCTCAACGTTCCAGAATTTTAATAACAAAGAGGATGCTGCTTAGTGTGACTAGCAAGGCTGCCGTGAAACTTACCAAGCCTCTGATCAAAGCGAGGGGGCTAACTCCTGTGCTGGCGGGCCGGAAGTGATCGCAGTCTTTCAGGTTTCTTTCGATGGATACTTCTGTTGCCACGCTGCCTTTCCTTGTTCTTACACTGAAGTTACTGGAACAGTTTCCATACACAGTATCCTACGGGAGCAGAAGATACAACAGGTGCATTAAATGTGGGGAAACATCCTTAGGTGCTCTGGGAGAGCCTGGGAAAGGGGTCTGGGAGAAAGGGCAGGAGCCACGTGGATTTGGAAGGAATTCCCCCTCCACCCTGAGGACAGAATGTGGGCCTTGCCGGCGCCTGGGCTGCCAAAGGTGGGGTGAGCTCCAGAGAAGGGTGGTTCCTGACTGAGCTCAGCACGCCGGCCGGGCCTCCTAGGACCCAGGCGACTCTGACCTTGTACTCGGTGCTCTCAGAGCATTTCCCTGCTGCTCATTTACAGCATGTATTTCAATCTGCCTCATGTGATGTATGTCTCAGTTCATCCCCCAGATCCTGAGAGCACCCCGAGGCCTCTGCAGGATGCGTGTGGTATACTACACAGCCCGCTGCTCATTTACAGCATGTATTTCAATCTGCCTCGTGTGATGTATGTCTCAGTTCATCCCCCAGATCCCGAGAACGCCCCAAGGCACGGCCTCTGCAGGATGCGTGTGGTATACTACACAGCCTGGACCATTGCAGGGGCTCAAAAATGGTCGTGGGACTCAAGCGAATTGAGTTCTCTCAGATCTAAACCTGAATTTCTTAAAAGAGGGTGGCAAGGGACTCAATTACTTTCCATGTTTAAAATACATGTGGGCCATACTGTGTTATGCCTTGTGGGAACAGAACAAAACCATGCAAAGGAGTAGGGTGGTCAGAGATCTCCAGAAACTGCTTTAAAATCAGATCCAACCTGCTCAGGATGATCTGTCAGTGAGCCCTGAGGACAGTGGGGAGCCTTGGCTGTGTGTGTCACTGGAGTGTCACACCAATGCAGGGCTCCCGTGTAACCGGCCACGCAGCTAAGTCAGTGGTCCACTTCACGGAGACAGCGGCTCAGACCGTGCTATCAGCTTTCTAGATTCTCACCAGAAACAGCACTCGCTGGGCGTCTTCCGTTTCCGGAGGAACCAGCAGGGCAGAGATGATGCCCCTTTTGACGTTCAGAGTGTGGTCAGGCTCCTCCGGCTCCGGGTGAAGCAAAATGGGTCCCCCGTCAGGAACCGCCAGCCGGAGCTCATGCCTGTCCCAGGGAGAGAGAGAGAGATAGTGCTCATGGGAGTGTTGCTTCTCCGTTCCGGGCCTGTTGGACAGACGCTGGGCGGCTCTGCAACCTGCTTTTTACTTATTGTTTTTCTTTTTACATCTTTTATTAATATATCTATGCACATACATTTTCAAAACAAAAGCATACAAGTATGCGTGTGTGTTCGGCACCCTTTAATTCTTTTCCTTTGTCGCTGGGTCACATGTCCCCTCCCTCTCTGCTGCAATACTCTCTCCACGGAACTACCTACTGGGGTTTCCATGTATTTCCACGCTCAGACGATCCTATGTGTGCGGGTGTAAAAAATCTAAAGATTTTGTCATTGCTGGTTTTACACAAATGGCATTGCATTACACACACTTTTCTTATTCTCGCTTTTCTCAACTATACACCACAAAAATTCTTCTGAGTCATTTGGTGGCGCTCTGACAGATTCTTTCTGAAAAGCTCCAAAACACTGAATTCCGTTTACCTATAATTTATTCAGACATTCCCCTATTTAATGGCATTCACTTTCTCTCTTTCCGGATTTCTTTTTCTTTCGGCCCCATGAACGACACTAAAATAAATATCTTTATGCCTATATCTTCACACATTGCTGCTTTTCTTTTCATGGACTAGAGTCCCAAAGTTTGAAATTGCTGTGCCAAAGGCTATAGTATTTTTAATTATAATAGATATTGACTAATGGCTCTCATTTCTAGCAGCAATGAGAGTACACTTTCCCCTTGTAGACCTGCCAGCAACAGGTGTTATAGCTGTTTTAAATTTCTGCAGTCCTATGGGTGTAAGGTGATAAATATCTTGCTACATTAATTGCATTTCCTGACTGCTAGTGAATTTGAGCTGCTTTTCATACATTTATTGGATACTCACTCTTTGATATGGTCTCAGGCCATGTCTGAAGCCTGGGTCAACTTTGATCTTAGGGACCTTCCTTTGGGAGCTTTCTTTTGGGGGTTTCGAAGGGCCTGGCTGCACCTGCTCTAGTTAAGTCATAAGGAAGAAAAAGAGGCCAAGCACGTATCCCACGGCTCTGCACTCTCTCGGAAAGTTCCAGACACTGTGATGCAGACTTGGAAAGCCTTGAGGTGGTCGAGAGCTGGAGTCCCTGTGGTTTGGAGGAGGTTAAGGACCAAAAAAGTTGCTACTACTCGCTCCATTCTGCCACTGTACCCCACTCCCTCATACACATCTAAGTCCCAGACAAAATCAGGTGTATCGGCGAGAGACAGGAGCGTCGAGCTTACTCTGCTGAGAAAGGACTGGCTTCCCGGTCTAAGGTTCAACAAATCGAATGAGTTTCCAAAGCTACCACATGCACAAATCTATGACGGCCTATGTTTACACGCTCTTGGGACATGACGAACTGTGACTCGGAGACAAGGCGGGAATGACGTTCAAAATATTTAGCAACTGGTACAACATGGATACTGATCAGTCAGCAGGGAAGCCAGCTGTCAACCATGAGACCGGCCTGGTCAGCGTGCGCTGGCAGAATGCCGGCCTGTGAGAAGGGGTTCAGGCCTGGGCTTTCCCTGGACTCTCTGAGGCCGGGCCTTGCCCCCTAACCCACCCCTTGCTAACCAGGACTCTGCACTCCTGAGTGCCGGCCATGGCAAGGAGTCCTGCTGGGACACTCCCTGAAGACCAGGGGGCACCCACTCTTGCTTCATTCTTTAAACAAGAATTCATGTGTTTAAAGAAACTGTCTCAGCTTTATTGTCCTCCAGAGTTGAAAGCAGATCTTTTAGAAACACACTGCAATGGTAATGAGAGGAGCATCCCCTGGGAAGGCACATAATGCTTCCCTCCTTTTGATTGCTGTGCAAACAGTAAGCGGTTCCTCAATCAATGGTGAATGAAGAATCCAAATACTTATACTCACGCATGTGTCTAATATGAACACACACGTTCAGACCTCAGTGGACACACACACACCCATACACCTGCATGACATGTCCAGCGACACCCAAAGCTCAGAAATTAAATGCACAGGCCCGTGCCTTACTTGGACATGGCTGTGGCAAACTCCTCAGAGTTCGCGGTCTTCTTCATCAAGGGCTTGCCCTTGGGGTTGAAGCCATTCACCTCTTTCAGTGTGCACTGGCTCGTCTTCAGGATGAAGCTGCAGCGTTGGGGGACCTCCAGCTCGACCTGAGAACACAGGGAGGCAGCATATTAAAACTCTCCATCCAGAACTTGAGGCACCCGGCCTGCCCCCACGGCCAGGGGCTTGCTCTCCATCAGGGCGCCAGGTAAAATGCTGTTGGACAGACGACGTTTGCTCTGCAACACCACCTGTGTCCACAACAGGCCTCCTGAGTTCTCCACGAGTCAACCTCTACTTGGTCCTATTTTTTTTTTTATCTCTTTAAAGTTTCTTAAGTCTCAAGTTTCTTAAGCTTGTTTTTATACATGTAAAGGGGGATGCCTTTTTATTGGTTCTAAATCTACACACTTTAGTGATGAAGAGGTACCACTTGTTAGAAGAAACAGCTTAGGAGTGAGAGTTTAAGAAGAAAAACAGGAAGCAGGAGGAGGGCTATCATTTGTATCAACAGCAAATGTTTCCTTAAGGTCACTGCAAAAAAAATCCAAATAACCCAAACCGTTTGTGTCTATGAGGGACCATTCAAACCTTTGCATAGAGCTGGAGTTTAAACAGATCCCTCGTTGTTATCCAGAACTGTTCGAAGAACTCTCTGCAATGATGGAAAGAGTCTATATTTACACTATCTAATATGGGAGCCACTAGCCATGGGTGGCTATTGGGCACTTGAAACGTGGCTAGTATGACTAAGAAATGGAATTTTCACTTGTATTCAATTTAAATAGCCTCATGTGGCCTCACGTGACCACACAGACGATGGGGCCCTAGAAGGGAGAGGGTAGATTCTCGGCCTGATTTCCCCACACGAACCCCATTCGTGACACTTAGATCTGTTCCATAGGAACATGACCATGAAAACAACCAGTGTCAATAAGAAAAATTTTATTTGAAAACAAACTACATGTTTCCATTTTTCTTTTTTTCCCATTTGTTTTTACTAACTGATGCTATTTGACTTAGATGATAAAAACTGCATTCCTTGGTGATGGACAGAGGGGAGGGGGTTTGGGGGGCTGGGAGAATGGGGTGAAAGGTTAAAGAAGTACAAATTAGTAGTTGATAAATGGTCACAGGGATGGGGAGCACCACATTGGGAATGCAATTAGCATTAGTATGATGGCCAAGTGGAGGGCCAGGGGAGGGAGGGAGCCATGGAGAGGATTGTTTTATGAACTGTATAGATGTCTAACCAATGTACTGTATACTTTAAACTAATTAACATAAATAATTTAAAAAACAAAACAATTGCATTCCAGAATTCTTTCCTGAGAGCCCACCTCCCTTGGCTCACCCACTGGACTTCTCTCATCATATTAAATCTACTGTCCGGCAGTGCCGAGGGGAGGGAGCCATGGAGAGGATCGTTTTATGAACTGCATAGATGTCTAACCAATGTACTGTATACTTTAAACTAATTAACATAAATAATTTAAAAAACAAAACAATTGCATTCCAGAATTCTTTCCTGAGAGCCCACCTCCCTTGGCTCACCCACTGGACTTCTCTCATCATATTAAATCTACTGTCCGGCAGTGCCGATATTCTAGATCACATATTCCAATTGTATCCTGAAAGATGATGAGAAAATAAATCTGGTTGGCAAAATTGTCTGTGGCAGATGACTCTTTAGCAAAGTATCTTCCTAACACCTTGAGATTGCAACTGTCCTGGCATGAGTTGGGTGTGTTCAGCCGTGGTCTCCAGGCCCTCCGGGGGCCCTCATCTCCCCTCATACCTTGCAGTTGATCCTGATGATGCTCCTTGAGTCAGTCCTGGGGACTCCACTGGAACTCTCAGCCTCATAGTTGTATATGTACTTCCTGAGGGGCTTGAATCGATTTGCGTCTTGTAAAATGAGAAATAAGTCAGCCATATTAAAACAAACAAACAAACAAAAACTCAAGGATAGTTAGTTTTAGGCAGGGAGAGGCAGTGGCATAGATAATAAAAATAGTTATTAAACTCGATTTATGTTTAACTGACTTTGTGTTATACTTCATTATCCTTTATGGATTTAAATTCTCCACTGTTTTGCTCAAGCTAATGTTTAAAGTAGCTGGCATTCCTTAAATATATCACATGAGGTACAAAGAGGTGAGTGTCAAGTAATGGGGCTCAGAAAGTCTATAGGAGAGACTGGAAAATTAAGAGTTGACAGCATAAAGCAGGTATCTCTAATGCCTTTTCAGCTTGAAAATACCATAATTCTGGGTCTCTTTTTTGGTTCTACAAAATACCTGAGGCAAAGTTCATTAAGTGTTAGGGGTATCTGGCTGACTTAGAAACCCCCCAAAAGGAAAATCTGGAAGCCTCCACTGTCCTCGAGTCTAATTTTCTGAACATTGAGAAAAAGAACACTTGGGTCATGAGCCCCGCTACAGTAATGCCAAATGTCCACGAGATGGCAGTGCTGCCACACCAGAGGCCAGCCTCCACTCAGGAAAACACAGGGTACCAAATGGCAAGGCCGTCTCCTTTGACCCCTAGGGGTCAGGTAAATACAAAGCGGCGGCGGCCTGGGTTTCCTCTCAAAGGTTAAAGTCACCATTTCCTCACCCTCATGTGCTTTGAATCAATGATTAGCCACTGGTAAACAGGATGATGAGGTCTCCTTCAAGTGTCCGTGGGCCAATAGACTGACATTCCTTTCCCCACCCTACCCCTTGGCCTAGCTTCTGGAACAGAGCAGAAGGGCAGACAGAAGAGAGTGGAGACCCCCTTGGGGGTGGGCAGAGGCCAAGGAACTGATTTCTTGGAGCTCAGAGCAATGCACACCAATCACAGCACCACAGCACGCGGAGGGGCAGATGAGTGGGTGGGAGGGGGGCGTACAGGGGGGGAGGGTAGGAGGTCGAGGCTGCCTTTCTTGCCCACTGGGGAAATGCCTTACATTGACAGGTCGGGCTGACATCTTCCAGCACTTCGTCTTCTATAAGAGAAGGAGAAAGACAACCGTGGGTTTTTCCCGTCTTCTGGACGGGTCCCAGGGTCTGACGCGGAGGGCCACTGCATGCATAGGACTTTCATCTTTTAGGAGGAAGCAAGTTCTGGAGAACCCGCTCCCCAGCGCCCCAGCGCCCCCGCCCCACCCCCAGCCCCATC